AATTTATCCCTTTCCACCCCCTTTACCCCCTGGTAACCGTAAGTCTGTTTTCTATGTCTGTGAGTTTGTTTCGGCTTTGTAAATAAGTTTGTGTCCTTTTTTTTTTTAGATTCCACGTATAAGTGATATCACATGGTATTTTTCTTTCTCTTTCTGACTAACTTCACTTAGAATGACGATCTGCAGGTCCATCCATGTTGCTGCAAATGACTTTCTTTATTCTTTTTTATGGCTGAGTAGTATTCCATTGTATAAGTACACCACATCATCTTTATCCAATCATCTGTCGATGGACGTTTAAGTTGTTTCCATGATTCAGCTCTTGTAAATAGTGCTAAGTGGTCCATCTTCTAAGCAACCAGTTCCTACTTCCCTCTTTTCTCCCTCTCGTTGGATGATTGAACTTCTAGAGGTGGATAAGACCTTTAATTTATCTTCATTTTATCAGTAAGAAAACTTAGATTGACACAACACTGTAAACTGATTATAACTCAATTAAAAAAAAAAAACCTAGATCCAGAGAGACACAGTGATTTGCTTAAAGTGCCACAAAAACAGTGTAGAACCAAGTCCCCTGCCTCTGAGTCCCTTTCCTTCCTCCCTGTTAGACCATGCTGCCTACATGTGTCACTTTTCTTAAGGAACTCTGCTTATTCTGTTCTCATCCCAAGGCATTTGAGTAGAATCTAGAACTTCACCTGTTTGCATTACTGTAATCTCAGGCATCTATGGCTTGGTGACCCCTCATCCAATCCTCTTACTTAAAAGAGAAGTTAATCCTCTTTTACATATTAAGCACTTTCATTTATACACATACACACACATTAATTCTGATAAATATGCCCATGTAGTCCTGACAGTCTTTAAAAGTAATTCTTACCCTCTATTTAAGAAAACTGATGCTTAGAAAACTAGGCAACTTTACTAACTTAAATTCAGGCTCTTTGACTCTTTCATATTGCTTATGTATTTGGGGGGATTTTATAGACCCCAGATGAAAATGTACAACATCACAATAAAAGATTAAATACCTGAATAATACCTTCCCCAAAGCCAGGAATTCCCACCCGCCTCACCCCTGCTGACCACACACACACATATTTAGAATCTGAAGCCAGTTCTAAAAATAGCTGAGTCAGCCTAAGAACTGATACCAAACTGGACCATTTTCTTCTATCCAGAATTGTCCACTGCTTTTGACATATACTGGAATATGATGGGGTCATGGACTTGTGCTTCTAACACAAAGGAGGTGGAAAACCCTTGTGAAATGTTGCTTAGGAGGATTAAATCATTGCAAAATGCAATTTGTGAGTTATTTCTGCGTTTCATTGGTCTGTCTCTTTGTATGATTGAGAAGTGGAGTTTGAGTCTTTGTACATTTTGGATATGAACTGTCCCAGAAGATGGGTTTTGTTTTTGCATCCAGCAAAGCCATTTCCCATGATTCATGTCAAATTAAGTCCTTGTTCATCACATAGCAGCACGTCGTCATAGGCTGGCATGGAGCTTGATGGAGGTTTTAGATCTGAAAGAATGCTTCTGGCAGTTTGCTAAATCCACCACCCACTTCTCTGCTCTTGCTCACCCACCCCAACCCCCTCATGGTGATACATGGCCTCAGTGTTTGTATAAAAGTGTAAGGGAGAAAATGGAAATGAGAGATACCAAGGCCAGACCCTGATGCCCCTGGGAGGCTGTGATTTAAAGTCTGTAGCCTTTCTTTCCCCTCCCATTACATTCTCTTCTCAAAGTCTTCATTTACAGTGACCAAAAATGACCAATAATAGCTTTAAATTTATCTTCTAAGAGTCCGTACACTTTAAGGCAATCAAAGCCTTAGTTGAACCAGAAGAATGAGTCTCCATCCGTAGAAGATCTGGGTCCTAGTCCTGGCCAGCTCTGTGGCTTACTTGCTGTAAGATCTTAGGCAAGTTCTTCATCTTTCTGGAGCTGTTTCCTCATCTGTAAATGAGAAGGCTAACTGGATAAGATCTGAGGTTCTTTCCAGTGTTAACATATCTTTTATAACTTGACCGTTGTGCACAGGACCCTCTCTGGGTGAAAACCCTTTCTCCTCTGTTTATGGAGATAGCAGACACTGTAGGCAGCATGTGGAGGGAGCTTTGAAGTCAAGTCTAGGGGCTCCCGTGTCTCATCTGTGCCTTTGGGCAAGTCACACATTCCACAGCCTCTGATGTCTATTGTCCTCAACTGTATCAGGATCCCCAGCCCCAGGGCTTTTTTGTGAATAAAAAATGAAAATGTTTGACTTCGAACTCTACAAATACAAGTGACGACCATTGTTATCATAGCACCTGGGGGTCGGCACTGAGTGACTGAGAGCCTTCTCACCGCAGGGGCGCTGGGCGTGACAGAACCCATTTCTGCACGTGCTGTCTTCCTTCCTTACACTGTGGCCCTGGACTCTCATTCCCAGTTTTCTGCCTGGTATTACTCTGATCTCTGTTGCTCCCTCCTACAGCTCCAGTATTAGAATATTCCTAAGCAGCAATGACCAGACAAATTATCGTTGTGAACAGCCTTGTACTTTGAGGTTTGGTCAGAAAATAAACTTCCCGAAATTCAGCGACTTGCCCCACCCCCACCCCACTTCATCCGCGCACCCCACACAGGTGCTCATGCATGCACACACGTGCTTTTTCACCCCCTCATGCTTCTTGCTAGTGGCTAATAAAAGAATTAGAGTTTTGTTGAAGAACCTGGCTTTTCCGCAGCTAATCCCCTATTCCCCGCACCTCCCACCTCCCCAGTGACAGGGGACGAGAAGGAGCCTGGAACAGGGGACACAGAGATTAAGAAGACATCTTCCCTGCCTTCAGGGCTGCAAGAGAATTGAAAGCAGAGTGTTCCAGAAAGTTCTAATGCTACAGGGAGGGTGGGGAAAGGCTTAGAGATGATGCTAGAGTGACTAATGAGAAAAAGGTTAGGGAGAGGTGTCTCCCTGTTACAGATGAGGAGTAAGATCAGAAGTTTAAGGAACTGGCCCAGGAGCACAGCCAGTCACTGGAGAGGCCGAGACGAACTGTATGAACGTATCTGTATGAAAGTGCTGTGTGAAAGACGAACGAGTAATTTTTACTTTTCATCCAGAGCTTCACAAGACTGCAAATATCTGAGCGCTGAAAAGTAAAAGAAGCAGATAATTACCTTTTTTTCTAAGTGAAAGGAGCTTTTTAGTGGGGAATAAAGCAAAAGCTAATATTCAAAATAATGAAAAATTCGATTTGGGGGGAAAACCATCAATTAATCAAGATCAATGCTAATGTCATTACACTTGTCTACTTGGTTAGTACTTCGGGTTTTTTCCCCTGCTGTTAAGAGGCTGGTTGCTTTCTTCCTTTCTTTCTTCAATATAAATCAAGTATAAATGAGAAATGTAGTGTATTGTTATTTAATTCAAAGATATCTGCATGTTTTATACTCCAAAGGTGGTAAATTGGTTTCACATATAAAAATATCTTTTTCTGTAGTGTGGTAATTATATCAAAGCAAATTATCTTGCCAAGACACTAAAATCTATTGTTTCATCTGTGTAGTTACAGATCACCTACATTACAGATCACCTAAAATTTTATTTCTATCCCTGGATGAGTTTCAGTTTCATCTTTGCTGATCTTGGTTCCTGGCAGCCCAGAAGAATACAGATTCATTAAAATGTTATATACACATACTTGAACTTTAAGTCACTTCATTTTTTTCAAACATTTTCATTTTAGTTTTCTCTTAATGGCAGTTTATTTCTGTGCTAGAAAAAAACATTGTTGACAGGCCTTTAACTAGGCAGATTATAAAATTTATGTGGCCTCAGTCTCTTTGTAAGTAAGAGGAAGTAAGAGCTCTTCATTGAGTCCATGACTCATTATTTTGTGTCAAGTTAATGCTCAACTTTTAATAGGTTAAAGGTAGAGAGCTGTTGGTGGATTGGGGTAAAGGAATGGTTTGGGAAGGAACCTTAATGTGTGCGTGTTGTGACAAATCTGGTGGCTTCTGATGTCCTTTTGTTTCTTAGCCAGAAGACATCAAAAGTAATCTATCTACAGGCTTACATGAATTTTGTGAGATTTGACAGCCTATAATAGAGTACCAGGCGTGTTACAAGCTCTCAGTTGGAAACAACAGATGATTGTGGAAGTTAACTTAGGTGTGGTTTCATTGCTTCTCTCAGTTGAGTTATAAACCATTTATAAACGCAAGTCAAAAAAAAAAAAAGAGAGAGAGAGATTCAAAAGTAAGCGCAGGAAGAGATATGAATACACAAAGACTTATATGCACGTGTTTATGGTAGCTTTGTTTTTAATAGCTAAAAACTGGAAACAACCAAATGTCCATCAGCTGGTGAATGAATCAACAAAAATGTTGATGTTCAAAAATATTCATATGATGGAACACGACTCGCAATAAAACAGAACGAACACTGATACGTGCCCCAGCATGGAGGCATCTCAGAAGCATTACACTAGGTGAAGGACATCAGAAAAGCCTACATGCTGTGCAGTAAATGCTAGAAAAGGCAAAGCTTTCAGGACAGAAAGCAGATCTTTTGTTGCCACGGTCTGGGGGTGAGAGGAAGGCATTGACTAGAAAGGGGCACAGAGGTCCTTTTTTGGATGATGGAAATGGTCTACATCATTAGTTCCGTGGTGTTTATGTGTATGTTTGTCAAAATCCATCAAATTGTACACTGAAAACTGGTGACTTTTATTCTGCGTAAACTATACCTCAAATTTAAAAACAAACTCAGGGCCACATCTTGAATGCCTTGCAAGGTGACTGCTTCATTTGGGAAAATAATCATTTTTAAACTTTGAACTTTGAAAGCCTGTTTTTAACAAGATATTGGCAGTGTTCGGTTTTAGGCTGAATCAGTACAAAATGTTGACCCCTAAGATGTGTTTGCATAGAAAATGGTAAATGATCAGCTTACTTTAATATCTCATTGCATTTTTGCTTTCTCTTTCCCTCTCTGCCCAACCTAGAAAAACTAATTGAGGGACTCAAATCTCCTGACACTTCTCTTCTGCTCCCCGACCTCTTGCCTATGGCAGATCCTTTTGGTAGCACTTCTGATGCTGTAATTGGTAAAGTCATCATCTCTGTTTCTTCAGTCATGCATGATGTGTGTGTCTGTTTCAAGAATGACAGCTGGTTAACAGATCCCTACTGAGTAGCCCTGATGTGGAGCAGAAATGCCACGAGGCCGCCCCGTGTGGGAGCGATGCCTTGTGCTAACCGAGAAGCCAGGGCTAGTTAATCTCCCTTGTTATTACCCCAAACCAAGTGTTTTCTCTGCCTTCCAGCACCACAACGCTGCTATTTATGCCTTTCTTGAAACGCTGAGATTTCCAGAGTGAATTTCTCACGAATGAGAAGGAATGTGGAAAAATTCACATTTCGTTACAAAAACTTCATGAAGAAAGTTGGTTTTGAGCTGGACTCTACCTTTTGCAGATTCTTCTTCAGAAGGGTTCCATGTGTGCCAAATATCAGTAACCGAGAAAACACTTGGCCCGCGGTGAAGCCCCATGAGTAGAATCCAGGGCCCCTTGTACTCCAGGGGCACAAAGTCCCAGAGCTCAGAAATGCCATGACCCTACAGAGACTTGGGCCTCCAGCTGGGGGGTGTCATGCAGCAAAGGATATCTCCAGCTACATCATGGCGTGGGATTTGAGATGCACTAGTGGCCTTTGCAAAGCACAGGGCATCTTTGCTTCCAAATTTTTCCCTTATGAAAAGCAAAATTACCAGAAGGTATTGATAGCTGCCTTTGAGCCTTTGTCTTCTGGCATGTAAGAGATCTTGGGTGGTTTGAGGTCTGCATTTGGTTATAAAGACCGAGAATCACCGAGACCAGCCACGGTGGTTAGCCTTGCACGCACATGCTCAGTCAGTGAAGCCCAGACACTCAAAGCAGCAGAAAGAAAGCAACTTGCTGCGCTTCCCATCTTGCCTGAGACTGACATTTTAGCGACATGTAGAAGGTCTTCTCAGAATTGTCCAAAGAACCTTCTGATTCCCCTTCCTTCTCCTCTCCTTTCTTAATGCTCTGTTACAAAAGAAAAAGCTGACGTGGCTGTTGAGAGTCTCATTCCGGGACTGGAGCCCCCGGTGCCCCAGCGCCTCCCATCTCAGACGGAATCCGTGACCTCGAACCGCACAGGTCAGTCAGGACTCTGAAGCTGCAGGGACTGGTCATTGTGGGGAGCCCTCAGAGTCAGTCTCTCCCCCGGCGGCAAATGGCCCTGGGCTTGTTCCGCAGCCTGGTTACTTCCTCCCAGAGTGATGCTCTGCATTATTATGGCCCCAGCTTCTAGATGTTGAGCGACGTGTTTCCTCGCTCAAGAGCAGAGTACTTTTTGGAGCCATGTTCTTTGTAGAGTGACCCCTGGGCTTTCCTTGGTTATAGCCCTTTATTTGAGATTTTTCCCCACTGGTGGCATGTTCCCTCTACCTCCTTAATTAAAGATCTCTGCTGAGGTATAAGGATGCCTGGAACTCCTTCCGGGCGCCGAGCAGTGTTTCCTATCTAACAATGTCAGCGATGTCCGTGGGGGTTCCTGTGATGTATGTTGACATTCTGTTCCCAACACAGAGCTTTAATCATATCAAGGTGATTTACTATTAAATTGTAAGCATAGTTGAAATCTTCCCTGGTTCCCTTACTGCTTTCGCCTTAATTTCAAAGCTGACTCTTAGTAGAATTCCTTAACTGCAGATTCCTTAAATACAGATTGGATAACTTTCATTTGTATTGAGTCCATAATTGCCTAGAAAGTGTCCAGTTTGCTAACTTGCAACAGAAATAATTAGAAGTCTAGGAAATGTGAGAATAAGCTCATCCAGGTTGGAAAAAAAATTAGCATAGAAGACAGTACGGTTCTTTTACCTTGTGCTTACTTCGTTCTTCTCTCCTAGAAAACTTCCCCAGAAAACCATTCATATGTCAAAATACTTGAACTCTGAATTTTGTCTTCCTTCTGTTCCTTCATCATGTGTTCAAAGGAGCGACTCAAATTTAAAGAATACCAATTATTAAAGAATACCAATAAGAGGCAATATCATTCTATTTTGGATGGGGATCTGGAAGGAGCTGCTCAATCATGCCATATTCTGCTAATAATAAGCCAGGGACAGCCCCCTTCCAGTCAGCCTGGATTCCTCATCCTCTAGTAACTTTTTCTAATGAATGTTTAGTGAAAGTATAAGGGAAACTTTAGTTGCAAAGTCCTCTTTCCCAAATGGCCTTTGCTGAGAATTGGATTACCAGTTTTATTGGCATCCAAATCACTTACTTGCTTAACCAGCCCAACCTCTGAGCCAAAAAAAAAAAAAAAAAAAATTCCTTCCGTGTTTGTGTATTACCTTTAAGAGGAATTGAGAAATACATGTTTCTAGAGATGAAAGTCCAGAGTGCGTAAGGTGTTTCTTTTGGTTTTCTTTCTCTCTTTGGCTTGTATGTACGATGTAAATGCGGTAACTGAAAGGCTCAGACCTAATCCCATGCTATTGTTGTGTGTGCCATTTAATGCCGTCACTGACCTGGGATGCTGTCAATTTGGACTCAGATTCTCTCACCGGGGAGGATTCCCTGATTGATTGCTCTCTGCTTTCTAACCCTACTACTGACCTGCTGGAGGAGTTCGCCCCAATAGCGATCTCTGCTCCGGCCCATAAAGGTAAATGCTTCCCTCTTGTCGGGCCCACGGGTATCCTTAGAGGAGAAAAACTGATCCACTCCTGAGAATCTTCCTTAACAAAAGTCTTTGCTAATGAAGTTTTTTTTTTTTTAACCCCTCCTTAAGTAGAAAATGAGCTTGTACTCTTAGCCCCTGGGTTAAAATCCCTCTCGGTAAGAATATTTAATAAGGCTCGGACAACAGATTGCGGAGACAGGGCTTTGGGGCAGTTGCCCGGAGTGCAGACATCCCATGCTTTCTATTAAAGACAGAGCTGCAGACGTCTGCAGGCAGCTCAGGTGGGTGGTTGAGGGGACTGCCCACTGACTGACTCTAATTAGATGCCCGTTGACCTTAGAACTGAAAATTACTTCATTAAATCAGATTTAAAGTTTTTTGATAGTGATTACTACAATAAAGGAAAAGGCACCATTCCTCAAAGGTCAGTCCTCAAAGATTGATCTTGTAAAAGTTTTGAATTTCAGTTAACCTTTGAGTCATGATTAGTTAGTTACTGGGTCTCTCTTTCTAAACTACTGTTTTCATTTCTTAGTCTTGGGTTCCCTGGTTTGAAATTCTGCTGGACAGAGGTAGCTTGAATTGTGTTCTGTTCAGTGAGTAGTTTGTGAGAGTGACAGGCACTCTGCCTGGCTTACTGTACGCAGGCATTCACTAAACTTCTTTCTGTGCTTAGAGTGAAAGTGGTTTTCTGGCTGGAGCAGATACATACAGACAAAGAAACAGCTTTAAGTCCTTTCTGAAGGAAATTCAAGCAAGTAGCCTTCCCAAGATGACTAAAAAATAATTAGCCTGTGGTTTGCAACGGTAATAGCTGAGTTTTTGTTTTTACCCTTGACAGCATTAAAATGATTATGTTTTTATAGAGCAGGTGGAGAGAAGTTACCTATTTAGCCAATTATGTCTGGCAGGAGGGTATCAGCAGCAAAGTGTAATTATAGAGAAGCATCTCTTGCAAAATAGGTGTTCAGCTAGCACTTCTTGGAGGAGAGCCCTAATTCAAATGGAGAAGAATTCCTAACAAACTTCTGCTTGGAGTCTCAGTGCATGTGATCTTGGGCCCGAACATTCCTGAGGCATCAGAGTTTGAAAGTCTTTTTCTTCTCCTGATCTCAGAGCAGCGAGTTCTTTCAGAAGTATTTGGTTTGCCTTGTATAAAATGGTTACTTCTTAAAGGGTGACTGTCTCCCCACTGTCCCGGGTTTTGAGTTTTTCTGAATATTGTTCTTCTGGCCTCTGTTTGCTCAATAAAGAAGAATAAATGACTAAATCCCATGCCTTTGTGTATTACTGACATTGAAGAGGTCTCTCACATGAACTGCACTTAATGGCCTTATAATGGTACAGAGAACCCTTTCTGTAACCCTTCGCCCTTCTCATTTATGAAAGTCTTAATTAACATGGCCAGCTCTAAAGCATTTGTTTTTCTATTTCCCTAAGTCTTCCAGCTTTACTGCTTATATTTCAACTCGGGAAAATAAGCATTTTCACCCTTAAAAACCACAGGGATTGTACAGTTGGGAACTTTGTGCCTCCGATGTGTTCTATCCTTTGCTAATCTCTACCTCTGTTGTTTCTGCTTGTGTACTTGCGTTCTGTATTAAGCTGCAGAAGATAATAATCTCATCTCAGGTTTTGATGTCCCTGAGGGCTCGGACAAGGTGGCAGAAGATGAGTTTGACCCTATTCCTGTATTGATAACCAAAAATCCACAAGGTAAGAAAGAGAGAATGGGGAAAAGAGAGGAGCTTGACATCAGCTCTTTTCAAAATAGGAATGTACTTAATCTACAAGGGGGAAAAAAGCATCAACATTTAATGAAGGAAAGTGGGGGTAATGGCCATCATTGTGGGCTGGACCAGTGTAGACAGATGGAGATACAGATAAAGATGCTGATACAGGTTATCTTAGAGCATGACCATGGTGTTTATTTAAAAAGAAGAAAAGTGTCCAATAGCTTGACTAAAACCTGGTTTTTACAAAGTATCAAGCTAAAAATAAAGTGATCTCCAGTCAGTGGAAACCTGAAGGTGTATATCAAAAAAAAAAAAAAGCACTAAACATTTCTAAATCATGATTAGAACAATCTATTCTTGATTATTCATTTTTTATTCATGATTTAGAACAATAAATATTCTTCCCAAAGAGGTGAACAGTGGTGCTTTGATACCGTTTGCATCTTTAGGACATTTGTGGAACATCCTTTTTCCTCTTTGACGGATTGAAATCATTTGAAGATGCCATAAAAACGCTGAATTGCCATAGGACCAGCTCTCTATTTTTAGAGCATGTTTTTATGCAGTAATCTTAATAACTAAGTCCTCCCCAAATAAAACATTACTGATTTTTATCTTATGAGGGAGATGAGTTGATATTACCAGGAAGTTAGCATACAGCCAGCAGTTTTCAGGCAACATAGATACTCATTTGAAGACAGCATCCTCTTTGCAAGGTCTCCTGCCTGGAGTCGGTGTAGAGCCGGTGCCTGAAACTCTTGGTGGGAGGTGGTGGACAGCTAATTGACATGTTTTCAAAATTAACATGTAAAAAAGTTTGCAAGTGTAAACTTAACATGTGAGAGTTTGCAAGTGTAAACTGTTGCTCCTCTAGGGTTTTGTTTTGTTTTGTTTTGTTTTCTCCTTTGCTTGCTCTGCACATCTAAACCTTAACCCTCTGTGTTTTGTACTGAACTCCTATCTCTCCACTTCCAGGTGGGCACTCTAGAAACAGCAGTGGGAGCTCTGAGTCCAGTCTTCCCAACCTAGCCAGGTCTCTCCTGCTGGTGGACCAGCTCATAGACCTGTAACCGTGACCCAGTAGCAGATGCTGTTCCGTAACCTTCCTGCCGTAATACACGTTTTCATTACGGAGTTATAAGAAAATGATTTTTTTTTTAATCTGCAAATCAGGGGCCCTCTAGCCCTAACCTCCTACCCCTTGCCTTCTCCTATAGAAATGATAAGGAAAGAAAATCACTTTGGCCCTCCAGATAGTCCTTGGCCAGTTCCTCCCTGTTAGTTTGCTGTGTTTTCTCATTACCCTCCTTCAATAGCATTAGCTTAAATTAAACGCTAGATGCCATGAGCTTCACCTCTGCTGGAACCAACTCCACCAAAAGCTTCACTGTCATTGAAACTAGTGAACTGACACCTTTGTCTCATTCTTGCTAGGAATGGCCCTACCACATCAATCCTCCCCAACCCCTGTCTCCTTTGGCCAGACGCTGAATGTGTTTCTCTGTTTTTGCTTTTTATCCTGCTGCATTATCATGAGGACATGGCTTCTTCGGTTGGTCTAGGCAGTCCCCTGGAGATGGGTGTGTGGTTTAAGACAGGGTAAAACTGCCCGATGGTCTGTGTTTGAGAAGAGAAACTGAGCCCAGCTCTAGCCAACCAACTTTGACCTTGTTTGACCATAGACTTAGCCAAGGGATTTTCCACCCCATGCAACCGCCCAGCATCCGTCCAGCATTCTGGCTTCCATTGAACCGTGATTTCTCAGATCTGGAGACGTGACTGCAAGTACTTGAGATCCTTGGATAAAATGTGTCCAGTATATAAATCCCAAGTATTGCCATTCCTTTTCGTGTCACCTGTCCCAAGCCGGGATCTCAGAATTAGACCAAAACAAGACAATGGTGGTAACATGATACCTTTTACTAGAAGACTTTTCACTGGGGGGTGGATGGGGGAGGGGAAGGAATTGTAGCAGAAACAGATGTATTTTTCTTGTGATTTTTATTTTGAATCAAATATTGTAAATTGTGTATAAATGAAGACGCTGAATAGTTCTGTTTCCACTTGGCGTTTCAAGTCTAATATCAGGTGTCTGTACAGGGTTTTGATCTCTTTCCCTCGTATAACTAACTACACAGCCATCCTGCGGTGTAACATATGGAATCATTTTGAGTAGACGTGTGTGTTGCTCTAAGCTTTCAGCAGGTCCTCTGTCTTTGTAGAATAAGCATGTTGTTTATTTTCAGATAATCAGAAATAAGTATACTGGCAAGCTAGGCACCATTTGACTCTGGCTACTTACCTTTCTTTCTCTCTAATGTTTAAATTGAAGGATGCAGCCAATGAAATACGTTCAGTTGGTTTTCCTTGGCTTCCTAGATGAAAAACAAAACAAAGCGTAGTTCCTCACTAACCTTAGAATATTGTTCGTAAAATAAATAAAGGCCCCTTCACTGACGTGACAACATGCCTCATGGTTACCCTCTGTATATGTCCTTACTCACTGAAGTATATATATTTTTTCCATACGTGCAAAGTTGTTTTATAAAGCCGCCCTTTTGAAAAAGAGGTGGGCACAGAGAACCCATTTGGGTCTCTTCCTCGAGTGGCATTTTCCATGATCAGAAGGGAAACTCTTAGTTGATCAGATGTGTCCCAATAAAAGTCCAGGTCCATTTGCTTATTTCCCTATCTGGTACTTGTGTTTCTTCTTCCTCACGTTTGCACTTTAAGGGGGAAAAAAAAACAAAAGAAAGCTGAACGGCGGCAACAGCTTATGAAATGCTGTGCTTTGGAGGTCAAGCTTTGACCCCAGCCATGTGAGAGCAGCCTTTGAAAAGCATCAGAGGAAAAGTCTGAACCCTTCAGCCTTCCTCCTGACTTTAAGTACTTCCGTGCCGGCTGAAACTAGATGCAGTAAGTAAAGGTCTCTCTTAGGATAATGGATTATTTCCAGAATTGAGGGAGGCACCGCCTTCCTGCTGAAGAGTGAAAAAAAAAGCTATCCTTGAATAGCTCTCCGTGATTAGATAGCAGTGAAAGTGGAACTTGGTTTGCCCCTTTATGGACAGGAATGTTGCTGACGATCAAAACTGTCTTCTTTTTCCTGGACATAGAAAGAATGTATAAGCTAATGAAGGAGATGTTTATTTTTAAATAAGAATAATGTTTTATGCCTATGTTTTCCAATTTGATTTTTTTTCCATACATACATGTTAGAAATATAACGAAACGTCTAGTTTGTCAACTTAACTGAAACCGTGAAGAGTACAGTTTAGAAATTCGGTAAGTGTCTCTAAATTGTTCCCTTTCGTGTATTACCCATAATCACAGTGAAATATATTATCTAGTCATCTGGCTGAATAGAGCTTAATGGAGAATGTTAATGAAAATGAAAAGACTAGAAGCCAGAGAGACTGGATGAGGAAGCCTGAGGGAGATAATGACATGAAGTTATCTTCGGTTTATTCTTTAGGAGTAGGGTTTCAAAGGGGAGAACTGCTCTTCTGTTAAGGAACATGTGTGAGTGACGTGGTAAACAGGGCCTCCCTTAGTTTTTAGCATCACCTCTGAGCTAAAAGGGTTTATTTGAGATGAGTGTCGTGTGCTAATAATTGACAGACCTTTGAAACTGTAGACTGAGCTACAAGAGGGACCTTAGAGACCATCCTCTGGTCCATCCACTTCGTTTCCCAGGTCAGGGACCGGGCGCAGGTGGTGGGAGAAGAGGCCTGTGCAGGACAGCACCCCCCCCCCGCCCCCGGGAGCTCCTCCTGCTTTTTGAGTCCCTGGCCGAGTGGCCTTCAGCAGGGGCGTCACTTCTGAGAGCTGCCGTTCCTCACTCAACACCGTGATGGGTTTGGACTAGATGGTTTTTAAGATTATAGAATTCTGTGGTTCTAGGTATGTATTAGTGTGGTTTGGGAGGACGATGAAGGATTTATATAATCCTGATGTTCTTCAGTTATCTTCTGTAGCTCTTACTATTCCTGCAGCAGTATTTACATTTTAGACAATTATAATGGACTTTTGCTAACCTGGATGGCTCTCTCTCCTGGTTATCTGAATGGATACATAAATCATCACAGAGTCTGGGGCATTGATTTTCCTGTTTTTAATATCACACACACGTCTCCCTAATCCAATAAAATAGTGTCAGAAGATTTCAGTTCTTTTAAATTATATAATCAACGATCTGCCATTTTAAAATGGACAAAGCGTATGTTTCTGATTTGCTTTTATTCCAAATGTGCAAAAGTAATAACTGTACCAGAAAACATTACAGATTGGGCTATTTTTCCCTTTACAGCATTCAGATAACTAGACACCAAATTCAAGTCCTTGTGTTTTTAAAAACAGGCTTCAGAGGAGATACGGTTTAAATGGACACTTCTACTTAATATCACTGTCATTAATGATTTCTTTAGCAGACATATCAGAATTCTGAGGGTTGTTCCCTTCAAAGGCATCTGGTTTTACTTGGGAAGCTAATACTTATTCTAACGATGCTGCCACCATTTATGTTACTAACATAACATAACATGAAACTCCTCTCCCTAAAAATACAATCAAGGAAAGTAATAAAATATAGGAAAATCTGTTGTATTATTATAAAATTAGTATCGCTTTCAGCATCTGAAAGTGTGCGGATCTTTTTCTACCACTCTTGGTTTTGAGTAACATTTCCAAAAAGCTAAGTCACTCCCCTAAGATGAAGAGTGGTTACTGTTGAAGAGAGTAAGAAAAGTAATCCACAGAAAATTCCCAGAGAGGACCTTATAATGGAATGCAACAATAATCAGTCTTAATTTCTGTAATACTCTGAATAAGGGAACTTGTGTGATTCCGCCTGTCTTTAGTATGGTTTAGAAAATCGAAAGATACGGGTTTTAAAATACCTCTGAAAGAGATTGTCACTTTGTTCTGAGTCATTTGATACTGGGCTTGGCTCTTCCCACAGGAGAATTATAGAACTCGTATTGCTAATAATTATAGGGGAACAAACCCAGGAAAAGAGCCTCTTTTTTCTCAAGATGAAATATTAGTTTTGTTTCTAATCCTTTTTTCCTGCTCCCCTGACAGATAAATGATCACTTTCATTCAGACCAACACAACCTTCCCCCCGGGTCAGGAGCAGTTCTGCCTTCAGCAGTGCTGTGGGAGCGAGGGGACCTTTGGGGTGGACCAGAGGTATGAAGGCGGATGAGTTCAGCTCAACAGATGCCCGCCCTAGACACCTTGAGCCAAAATAAAGTCTCCTGTGCTGACGTGTGTCTGTATTTCCAGGAGTCTTTAACTTTCTCAGTCTATAAAATTATCAGTGTCTGTAGCCATGAACTTAGGGTTTAGGGATACAAATGACAGGATTGCCCGAAGTATTAAATTAAGTCAACTTGAGTCTGCCAGGCAGAACAGAAAAACTATCAGAGGGGTATTTAAAATGGCGTCTTTACCGAAACACTCCAGATATTACAAAGCTATCTTTTATTCCTCTCCAAAGACTGTAATTTCACCAACACGAAGTTAGCCATTTCCTTTTCCCTGTTCCCAGATGTTCCCAAAGTTGGGTGTGCTTGGGTTTCTGGAGTCAGAATGAATCCCATATGGCCTCCATTGCAAATAATCTGTAACAAGATACTGTTTCGTTACTCCTGGGTTTCCTTTCGCTCTGCTGGGGAAGAGAGGTCCTTTGGATAACCTATGCAAAATTACCAAATGGTGGTCGTTGCTAGAATGGAAGAGATGTTCTTGGTTCCCATGTTGCTGTGGTGTCCTCAGTTTACTCTTTTCCTCTGAGTATTTCTCCTCTGCCCTGTCGCACACCCCTTGTCACATGGCTGTGTATTTACCACACGTCTTTATCCTGTCCTCCCCGAGAAGACAAAGCAAACAGAGGTACACGAAAGCTATCTTATGCAGTAAAAATGTGAAATTTGAACATTGCTACACAAGTATTGTATTAAAAAAAAAGGCTGTAAACAAATTTCTTATGTAAACATACAGGAAAATAAAGACTTTTATCTGTTCAAACGGGAGCATGATGTTCAGAGATATAAATAATTTAAAATAGCTGCTGTTCTCCTGATCTGAAAACCCACTTCTGCAAAAGGGGTTGAAACACACTGTTGAGTGACAGGAGGTACCTGAGCACAAGGGAAGGGCAGATACACACGAGAGACTCACAGGGGGGCGTTTTAATGAGTCCTGGCTACGGTGGCTTCACCCTGCAGTCAGGGAGAGTAAAACACCTGTGAGCCTGCATCTGACATGACCAGGCATGGAGCTGTAAAAGGCCGCACAGACTTGCAGCTACCTTTCTCTAATTTAATCTTTAATATACCCAGGCCAATTTAATTAAACATTTATATGTTGGCAACAGCACTTTTATGCCCAGGGAGAAATCGCTCCCATTTAATTGCTTCATTGGCTTGAGACGCACAGCCTCACCAGGCAGAGTTGGTTCCCATCAAATCCCTTATTTCCCCAGTCGTGGGTTTTAACGCAACTACACAACATACGGTAGAACCGAACGCTTAATTTTATCATCTAAGCAAAAGGTCTTGGGAATTATTAGTTTGATGTACATCCCCTGATTTGGCTCTTGAGAGTATGGGTTTCAATTGGTGCTGCATTTCTGAAGTTCTGGTCGAGGGATATTTTGCTTTCTATTTGCTAATTAACTGTATGAGAAGGTTTCCCAATACTCCCAAATCCTCATTTTCAGTTTTTGGCAAGAATTGTGTCTTTGATACCCACTTTAACTATTTCATTTTATAGGATGGGAGAAGGTAAAATTCTGGTCGCACATGATACAGCGCACTAAGGGATACCCAGCCGGAAATTTGAGTCTTCAGATTTTGGTTTTTTCAGAAAGCACTCTGATGGCCCTCACTGTGTCCATCAGATAAAAATTTCTATTCCAAATCATTCAGCACTTCGGGTTTCTTTGCAAATTAATAGGGACGTGGTGAGGATGGTTGTCAAATCATCGAATATTTTGGGGGATGCCTTTCCTTACCTCTGAAGCATATAAGCTCTTCTTAAATCAACATGATCTGGAGTCTCAAAGCAGTTATCCCTACTGTTGTATCGAAAAGTGCACTTACCCTTAACCTGGCACACAGTCATGCATCAGAGCAAGAAAAAGAAGTGTGTTTTGACTTCTTGCTTAATTTAACGTGCTAAACTGAAATAAAAAGAGACACGACTTGATTTAAGGGAATTAGAACAAAATGCTGTATCTTAAGCTTCATGATAAGGAAGACCATGACCCTGTGAGGCCAGATCTTGGGTTTAAGCCCCCCCTCCCCATAAACCCTCCTCCCCAACCCCCACCACTCCAAAGAAACTGGCTAGCTTTATTGAGTTCTGTGGTCACCGGGCATCTGCTATGCATGCCATTGGTTTCCAAAGGAACTGGGCCAAGGCATTGAGGTTAAATTAGTGCAAATCTTTCATTGCTAGTAGGCAGACTGCTTCAAACATGTTTTTCTGACAGTACAAGGCTGTCTTCACATACAGGGACTGTTCACCTTGGAAACACATGCTTTTCCCTCCCTACAAGAACACAGTCATAGTCCAAAAAAAACCCTCTAACTACCAACAGGTTTAGTGTTTAGAATCACTCCTTCTCTTGACTACTTTGTTTCTTGTATGAACACCACCAGAATTCCCCAAAGGAGTGTGGAGTCTGAGCTCCCGACGCCCACCATGTTTCCTGGGTCTCCGGCCCTCCAG